TACGCGCTGCGTATCACGTCAAAATCAATTTGAACAAATGAGAAAAAGATTGTAAAAATAACAAATTCTTTCGTGCATTTTCCAATAATAGATCAAAGTCAGCGTTCTTAAGTCAACGTTGCGTACAGTTACCTACTTTAGAAAATGATGGAAGGAGGACACACTGCAGTGGGACCATTTGAAGCCCTTCTCGGTGTGCCTAAGATCGCTCATGATATATCCGTCTTCCCATCGACATTTTTCTGCCCCTGGTCCACCCAGGTAGCTAGGCGGTGGTGAACCGTCGTGAACGGCACCCAATCTACGATTCACATAAAATGTACGTTTTATTATCAGCGGTGTCAATCGGTTCTCATTTCTCAGGCAAAAGAAGGTGGGTACACGTATAGCGATAGATAAAAGTGAGAAGAAACAGGTTTGTATGATAATTTACGCTTACAGGTGGCCGACCTCGTGCGCAGCGACGATGATACCGCTGAATCCACCGGTATCTTCGATGATAGCGACCGAATTCACCTTCTCAAGGCGTTTATTCACGACGCACGCCCCGCCGACGTATGCGAATCCTGTGCAGAGGAGACTCTTTAGCATTGCCTTGCGTTTGCGTTTCCCTGGCTATGTGCATACATCGAACGGTAGTACTACTTCATTACTATTAGAATCATATTCGGTATTAACGCAAGCTGTCTCGTTAAATTAGCGACAGAAGTATGTCTTCACTGTAAACACTTGTCAATTATTAGACACTTGCTAATTATTAGATCTCGGGATCTTGACTTTTGGGGACATTGCAGGCCCATCAAGTTCGATTGCTCTCAGTCAGTAATTTGTGCGCAATGTAGTTTCGTTTGTATTTACGTTTTCGTTTACGGTGAAGAAACACGCGTTGTTAATACACCATAGACATTGCTAGTATCTCGCGCTTTCGCACCCTATGAGGATTATTATGAATTATTTATTATTATTAATTCGTTTGTGGATAAATGTTAAAAACAAGTAGTTACGTCGATATATATGCGGCATGCATCCGTTAATTCGTCGCCCAATGGTTAACGAGAGAGTTAGCCGAAGATATTGCATAGTTTACGTTCGAAATGTCTACGAATTTGCCGATCAACAGATCGGACGTCATTGCCTTCCCTTCCCCCGATTCAATATCGATCGATTACGAAAAAGTAGGCACATCTCTCTCTTTAGTGTTGTTCTGCTTAGTGATTTCAAAGACTTACCAAAGACCACGATCCATGACAATGTAATGCAGCCAAAGGTATACAAGAGTCATAAATTATTACTCAGGAGAGATACAGAACAAAGAGCGCAGGTGATATAAAAAGAAAAAAAGAGAATAAAGACGGGAGGAGAAATTAAATTTTGAGCGACTGTTTCTTTTGTTTTTCTTTTTTTTTTTTTTTGGTCGAAAAAATAATGAAATATACGAGCGAGATACATGTAATTACCGAAATGGTATTTGATGTATAAAAGTTCGTGAAACAACAGTATGTATATACATAAAATGCGGAAACTGTAATAATTGTGTAGAGTACAGTGGCGGATCCATTACAACCCGATATAGAATTGCCGCTACACATAAAAGTTAACAAAAAATTAAAATGTTTTTTTTTTCTTTTGTGCTTAAAGTCGAACGCTCAAATTTTAACTAAAAACCATTATTTTTGAAAAGTACATAATTTTGACTTTCTCTTGACTTGATGTGTTCCTTGGATGGATTTCATTATATTTTGCACTTTATTTTTGTCAACGGTATTGTGTGAATTGTTGAATCGAGATGCGCCAAAATTGTCTCGATCCGCCACTGTATAGATACTGAGACCTAGTATATATGCAAAATAGATATAAACACATATAGAAGTAGGTTTTAGAAGCAACTGTGCAAGGGAACAGCAGAGTTTGAAAAAGGCAATTGCTTGACGAATCTGTATGATGCGCGCATGAAATCATTACGTAAGAAAAGAAGAATATAAGGCATTAGAAGTAAAGTATATATGATATTGATATAGATAAAAGCTAATACATACGCAAGTAAAGTATGTAACAGAAGTTTGCTTTGAGTAACTAAAGAACTCTAAGTCTCGAAAAATAAAAATCAGTAAATAGAACTTGAAGTGTTTCTAAAATTTCTTGATTTTACAAACAAAATTTACCAGACTTCCTTTATTTATCCGTATTTGCGCTAAATATTCAAAATTCTGGAAATCTGAAGGTTGAAACTTTATAAGGCAGTGCATAATGTGCAAGAACTTAAAGTTGAAAAAGCTAAAAAATAACAGTTTCTCTGTTCGAAAAAAAAAAAACGTACCTGCGGTTCCTCTATTGCACACATCATTCGCGTATTGCCTCCTGCACATATCTAATCTGCAATGCAATAACAAAAATACTCTTTATCATGTAGATTTACATACTCAGTGACATTTCTGACCTGGTCACGGGACAGACAATACTTAGACGGTGAAACTCAGACACCGTACATATTAATCCTTTTACAATACTGCACAAGAGAACAATAAAAAAAAAAAAATGTAAAAATAAACGCGTTAAATCGTCGCTTGAACGAGTTTGAAACGATTCAATTTGTGCCGTGGTTCGCTAGATTTCTCTCGGGTTGGAACACAAATGATAATCATCCTCTCGAGAAACTGTAACCGCCAAGTGTAAAACACACTACCCTGCGTTTTGAGAGAAAGTTCCGTGATGTCCTTGCGATAGTCAGTAAATGTGGATTTGCGTGTGATCGAAAGCAACACCCGCGAAGCGAACGTCGCAAAAAGAAAAAAAAAAAAAAAAAAAAACCAGGATTCGTAACCGGCACAATTTTAGCATGGTCGAATTTCGATACTTAAGAACACGTAAAAACAATTTTCCTATAACGGAGCCAAAATTGTGTCAATTTCAATCCTTATTAGAAATTCTCCTCAAACACAAAAGAAAAAAAAAAAATTTCAAAAAAGAAACGCGCTCCTTCCTCGAGGCAGCCTTGAAGAAAACGAGTGTTGCGGAAGCGCACGTGTAGCCAATGTGCGAAGTATTAAAAAACAAAAAAATTGATAAGTAAATAAAAGCAAAGAAACCGCGCCGAGCGCGTTTGGTGCATGAATCAATGCCCGCTTATTAAACGGTGATCTCGTGTCGGATTTCATTAAACAATTGTACGCGATTGCGAGTTGGCATTTCGATTAAGCGTGACAGACGTTGCGGGTTCCGATTTATTGTACAAGATTTCACATTCATATGGCGCAACTGAAGGAGGAATTCGTCTAACGAACCGTATACTTGTAAATTACGTAGATCTGCATAAATGAAGACTTAATATGCATGGATTATATGTTGCCTCGTTTATTTTATTAATTCGAATTGATTTAAAACATATTCAGATTATGCCGCAAAAATGTAAAGGGCTGAAATATTACTATTACATCGATGTATGCGGTAAAATTCATTACACATCATATTAGAAATAGAATTTATCTAAATATAAAATTACGGTAATTAACTTCAATTATAATTTCCGGTTGGATTAATATTTCAGTTCTCTTTACTTTCTATATTTTTAACACCTGTTTGGAGTAACTCTGTCTAGAGTGTTGCAAAATACTTGTAATAAAAAAAAAACCACGAATTCGTCGGAAGGAAAAAAAGATTTACATTAAAGCCTGCTCAATCTACGTAGTAAGTTACGTAACTCACACATACAAATGATTCCTCTCTGCGAATCGCTATATATTTTTAAGAAGTTACAGGAAACTGACTTCAAACTTGATCTTTATGACTTTCCAATGTAAATGTCAAACTGGACATTTTATATATTTAGTGATACGTTTTGATTTTTACGGTTCTGCGAACCTATGAGTTTCCGTACATGACGCAATTGGCATGATTGTCCGGTGTTACGGCGTTTTGGGATCACAGCGCGGCCCACGAATTATGCGTTATCAATTAAATTAAGATTAGTGGTACCATACCCACTCCTCATTCGTTCCTCCTTGCTCGAGCGTGTGCGTAAGAAGCTCTGAATTACAAGTGCATTGTCTCGCAGACACCGATTACAAGTTCCTAATTTCGCTCGTTGGAATCACGCGAGGAAGATATTTCTGTTTGAAGGCGTTTTCGTCATCAGCGAGCGATGGGATTTCTCGCATTATCGCGATACGTCCTGATCCTCATATCTTTTCGAAAAATATCTTCCCCAAGAATCCCAAAATATCCCCTAACTCTACTGTATCTGTTAGACTATGTACCATTACTGCATGTCAACCGTCAATAATACCGTCAACTATATACATTATACATGCTAGCAAAAATGCTGTACCATACGTTATGAAAATTAAGAAAAAGAAAAAAAAACGAAGTAAAGCGTGATCGCTATGTAATAAACCATACCGGCAGTTCCCTTAGTGCAGCGGCCGCCTTTCCTACGACGGCACATATCATACCTGTTTTGCGGAATAAAAATCGAGAGTATGAAATCATCAGAGAGAATAAAACGTAAGATTTATAATAAACATTATCGTAACGCAAAAAAGAGAAACGAGAAAGTTATCGAAGTTAATTATTGAGTGCTTCTACGTGGAATTCAACATTCATTTACGATGTATTCGCGCTTCTCTCATTTACGTCGTGTAAAGTTAGTGAATGCTCGTTGGATTGACAAATAAATGAAAAGTATGGATCATCAGAGAGGTTATCGTTTTCTGGCAGGCACTTTCGTGACTTGCCGTCAAATTACAGCACTGCACGTAGGCCGTTTTACGGATCGGGCACTCTTACTTTGTGACAGCGACGGCAATGTCGTATACAGGAAGTCTCCTCTCCCGGAAAAGATATTTGCCCATGTCTGTCAGAGCGGCTGCCGAGTCAATTGCGTCTCTTCCCACGCGATTCCTTTCTAAATACGGTGTCGCGTCTCGTCCCTGAGTATAATACAATTGGTCTTATTTATATTTAGGCACCTGCAGCTTCAATCTTCAAAGATCGTTTTTTTTTTCTCTCAATAATTATAAAGTTTGATAAGTAGACTTTACATATTATTTTAAGAAAAGATCTGTCGATGTGTAGATTATAATATATGTATATAAACTAGGGTATTAATTTTACTACTGTCTCTTACACGTGAAATAATTATTCCCGCTATACTGATACGTATTTTTGGCCCCTTCAGTAATTTGTACCTCAGATCAACTCCGTTCCAAAAGGACACGAAGTATCTCTTTATCTGCACGTTATCGCCGCCGTGCAATCTGAAAAGAGAAGATCCGTTTCATCATTGAGAGAAGTGAGTTAAGAGAAATTATAAATGTCACTGCAGATACACGGAATATTCGTATAAGGAAAAATAACAGTTACAGTCTGTATATACTCGCGCTTCACAAAGATGATATTAGTCGACTCTCTCTCACCTGTACCCATCGTAATCCACAATACAAAGGATTTCCGGGTAAATGACGTACGGTGCTTCGCGTCTCGATCTGCTATTAATCGAGCGCTTAATCCTATATCTCTTGACTAAGCGATCTGGTTCCATAAGCGCTGAAAACATTTGTATTTATATTTGCAGTCTTAGGATTTTTTTAAAATCAATTTTTAAACTGCCAACTCAAATAAGATCGAAAGTGAAAGTTTTGACGTATATTCCACTCACAAAAGTCACTGTACTCGTCGCTGATAGGTCGATCCATTTTCCTGAAAACGATATGATGACTTGTGTGTTCCAAGTCCTCGCTATTAGTTATGTTGGGCAGTAGTTTGGGTTCGTAAAGAGTTGACGCTTTGCTCACTACTTCTTGCAGAACCCGTTCTGGCAGTGGCCGGATAACTAATTCTGAACCGATGGTTCCATCCTGAACGAAAAGATGTACACTTAATTAATCACGTAATTAATTATTCTATTAAACAAACATAGTCATTTATCAAATGAGTATAGAATCAAGTGTCATGGGAATGTCCGACTTCGGATTACAAAATTTTATTTTAATTCGATGCGAATTAAAAAAAAACTTATTTATATGCATATTATGTCTCTAATTTATTATTTTTAATTAGTAATGAATTTGATTAGTACTTTTTTAATTAGTAATATTTTAGATGTAAAGCGAAATTTTGTTCTTAATATTCTCTTTCTTTCTTCTTTTTTGAAGGCTGTAATGTCAAAATATCATCTCGAGAAATGATTCAAGCGACTAGCTGATTATATTATATATATAATATTCAAATAGTTTACATTCAAACGTATCGCAGCATAAACTTTTTCGTAATTAACCGTGACTATAATTGTACCTAATAATAGTTTTTCTAAACATTACTGCGATGTGTTTAACTGATAAATATAAAACATTTCTTCTCCTATATAAACTTTGCAAGTAAAAAGTTAAAACATAATAATAATAATAAATCAAGAAAAAAACATGACGTGAGAACAAACATTGTGTAATGAACAAACTTGAGCAAAGAGATTAAAAATTAATAATCCCGCCATATAAACTTCGAAACGATTCGAAGTGATTAATCTTAAGTTTGATCGCTGAAACACACTCTCGGTGTGTATAAACACTATAAACCGGGCCCGATACCCATAATTATTAGACGACTCATACCTGCTCTCGAGTCTCTCTCCGAATTGTGCAAGATTTGAATATTGCAAATATCGCGGTATATGAATCACGGCGCGTTAGTTGAGGGGCATGTTAAATCGAGCGTTTCCATCCAAGTCGGGCGTCGAGTATACGTTTTACGGCGAGTTGAATTTACTCGGTATTCCCGATCCGGACCCGATCGCGCCGCTCGATCTGCAGTCTGCGAGAGGTGCACTGGTCAGATCTCGGGAGAGGGGGAGTGAAAGCGAAAGGTCAGGCCAGCACGGGGTCACTTAGAACAACGCTTTTACGACGCGTTATGTAACCAGGCATTATGTATACGTGACCGCGCTTGAACGACATATTATATGTCTTTGTCTTCATTAAAATTTCATTGAAACTCCTACGCGCGAAAATCGCCGTCGAAGCCGTCTGAGAAATCAATTCCGTCCGTGGATCCATCGGATCCCCTGAGTGAACGAGAGGTTTTTTTTTTCTTTTTTTGTGACCTAACAATTAACTTTCACGACTCCCGCAAGATACAACGCGTGATTGTAATGTAATATGTCCGTGCTCTCGCCCGCGCACCAGTTATATTACTCGTATTTGCATCGCGAGTAATGATCTCGCGCGTAATAGCGCAATTTAGATCGTCCCGACCTTTCGGATAAAGCATGCGGACGTGCAACGCACGTAGCGTGGTTGCTTGCGAAATTCAATTCTGTTTCGCTGAAGAAAAAAAAAGAAACATCAGGAGTAACAAGCAATTAAGATTAATTGAGAAGTGAAGGGACAATCAATTGGTGCAATCAACTTGCCTCATTTTTAATTTATGTATAAGAATTTTCTTCGTATTATTTTCTAATTCTTTTTTTTTTAAGTCTTGCCCCTTAATACAAAAATTTGCATCCTCAACATTTTCTTGAAAAGGCTTTTTCTATGAGAATTTACATCGCATTCTGTTCTTCAAAAACGCTTAAAGTTTGCAATCTTGTAACCTCTCCTCGATGGAATCGCGAATATAATTATCATATTTAGTGACGTGGATAAATCTCGAAGATTTCACGAGAATTATACGTGATAAATGCTAATACGGGGAAAATATCTCATACAGCTGATTCCTTCTTAGAGGTGCAATTAAGAGAGCTTTGTAAGAGAAATCAAGTCACGCTTGTTTAAACGCGAAATTATTAGGAATACAACGGTTCCTTCGTTCTCTCTCTCGAAATTGCAGACTGCGGCGAAAGGTAGGACCGACGCATACAAGTTTATTGGCTTCTGTCCCGTAGACACAATACCCTTCACGCGAGACTTCGTTCTGACTAAGGCGAGAAAGACGTCGATTGCGAATATAAGAAAATGTCAAAACCATGGCATCACCATGGTATTTAGGTAACTTTAATGCCGCAGCGGTATACATAACGACACATCATTTGATTCAAAATTATCTACAATAGACTGTAAAATTAAAATTTCATTATAATCTTCATTGTAGTCTTTTCAAAATTAAATGAGGA